GCATGTATTTGGTTCATATCTGTTAATTGTCTGTATATATATATATATATATATATATATATATATATATATATATATATATATATATTATATTTATTTATTGGTATGTTATCTTTTGACACAGGATTTAAAAAGCCCTCTCTACCCAGAGTACTATTCATCATATTTATTTAGTTTATCATTCAAGCCTACTGTTATCTTAAAACCAAGTGTATATGCTCTTCAGCATCAAGTGATTGCCTAAAGAGGAAGAAATAGGTTTCCTTTCACAACAGCACCCCAGACAGGATAGGTATTGGGCTCTCCTTTCACTGGTGATGCAGAAAGTTGCTCAAGATTCATGGGGGAGATTAGCTGACACTTGGGGACATTTCATTTGATAAGTCCTAATGACCTGACCTGTCCTGTATGATTCAAAATAAAAAAGATACTATGGGGTTGATATATCAAGCTGTTCATTTTGCAAGGGAATTTTCTCCAGAGCTCAGTGAAGTGCTATTGACTTTCATCATCCAATCATGTGCAAGTGAAAATGTTGTTTTTTTTTAACTTGCATGTTATTGGGTATTACCTATCAAAGTGAAACATTGCCACATTCACTAAGCTCTGGGGAACATTCCCTTGCAAAGTACAACTTCTCTTGCAAAGTGAACAGCCTATTTGCCTTTATCAAATCAACCCCCGTGAGTGAACAAAATACTTAGAAAGAAAGGGAGCCCTTTCTCTAAAGTAATATAATGCATACTGTATATATCCGATCATATTACATACAGTGTTGGTTTGCATTTATATGAAAGTGTAAAATTGCTTTGACCTTATACATTTCCATAATGCCTGTGTATAGCCATTAGGGTTCTTGTAATTCCTTGATTACTTAAAGAATCAATTCATGTAGAATGCTAGTCAGCTGAAATACCTATTTGCTTCTTATAACTTTTACAGATAGTGATCACTAGACATTAAATTTTCCTGCTTTATTGACGCACCCACCAGTGACAGCCATTGCAGGAATCTGAATCTACTTATTGAATTTTTTATTTATTTTACGTTATGAAGAATCTAACAACAAATGTTAGATTTCTTAATGGCAGAGCTGAAATACTGCTACAGGGCGGCACGGGTGCGCAAAATCATATATATTTATGTGATTTAGCATTTTTGGGTAGGGGGCGCGTGCCCTACCAGCACCGCCATTCGCGGCCACGGATGTTAATCAGCAGGTCCCGGATGGTAATTACTCACCAGTGCCTGGTGATTTCTGAAGATCTCCGATCTACTAACAGTCCTCTGCCCTGTCAGCTCAGGCACACTGTACTGGATGGCTATGCACAGCACAGCCATCCAGAGCAGTGTGATTACAGTGAATCACACTGACACGACCCCCAGCAAAAAAAAACACTCCCTGCACACGGTTAACCCTTTGATCACCTCTCATGTTAACCCCTTCCTGCCCAGTGCCATTAGTACAGTGTCAGTGCTTTTTTTTTTTTAGCACTGATCACTGTATTGGTGTCATTGGGATGCCATTGACACCAAGTCAGTTCCCCCCTAGTGTCAGAATGTCTGCCACAGTGCCACTATAATGTCGCTAATCTCTGCCATTACTAGTAAAAATAAAAATGTATTTACAACCAATTAATTTACATGTATTGGGATTTGTTTTAGCAAAGACATGCAGCAAAATACATTTTGGCCTAAATTTATGATGAAATTAGATTTTTTACATTTTTTTACTGGACATGTTACTGGACAAAAAGTCAAAAATGTTGTTTTTTTTTCTTAAAATTATCAGTCTTTTTTTGTTTATAGCACAACAAATAAAAAACGGAGAGGCGATCAAATACCACCGAAAGAAAGCTCAATTCATGGGAAAAAATTGACCGTGCAATTGTCAGTTAAAGTAACGCAGCACTGTAACGCAAAAAATGGACTGGTCAGGAAGTTGGGTAAATCCTCAGGAGGGCAAGTGGTTAAAGATAAAACAAACAATATGTAGTTATATACAAAAATGAGAAAGCTTTGGGTGGACTGACCCTCATACATGAACTTGAAACAGTTTTGAGGAGCTTCTCTTCTACCCTATAGCAGAAATGTGTGTGTTTAAGTGTACAAGTGCAAGCAATCAAGAAAGTAGAAACACCATATCCGACCATGTGTTTTAGTGTAGCAGGTTCTGCTATAGGAGTGAGCAGATGTTCAAAATAATTAACAAAAGCTGAAGATTACTTAAGAGGTCAGAGAACAGCAATCAATAGAGGAAAGGTCATAAAGATACAATGCTCATGGTAACAATAGATTACAAACCTTTGGAACAAAAGTTAACATAAAAAAAAAAAAAAACAAGAAGTATCAAAAAACAACATTCCTCCACCGGAAATTATTTCTATTTTAGCAACAGGCTTATGATAAAAATATTGGAATAGAAAAGTGAAACTTGCAAAGGGTGAAATCTAGCTATAAAATATAAGAAAGAGGTAAAGTATTAATGATTTGTGTTCAGCTATATGATACACAAGAGAGTAACAGATCAATAAAACGTGGGAGAAAAGAACACTTCCCATCCACTTTGCATTGTCTAGTCATTAAACAAAGTTCCGCAATTGAAAGCATATACAGCTAGCAGTGTATCCTCTTTATATATGTAATGTTTACTGTCATTTCACTGCATGCTTTCATCAAGTGGAGATGAGGTTCAGGTTTGATGCTACTATGGATTTGCATTGAATCCTGCCTGTTTGAAACTGAGATTCTGACTAATTAATGCAGAAATTCAAATCTGCCATCCCGAACTTATTGCTATTATAATGTACTGGCCTTTGAACTTAGCTCAGCTGGATTAGAAGGGGCAACAAGAGGGCTTTGCATAAGTGACCCCCCTCACTATAAAAGGGTGAGGTCACAGCAGCCAGTTGACAATGTGTTTCTGCATTTAGGACTGTTGCCTATGACACCTAATTTCAAGTCAACAAGCACAGGCCTAAATGTAGACACAAAAAACAATGAGAACATGTCCACATGGCCAAATGCTGAATCAGAGTGCATAGAGAGTCCTCTGCCAAAAATTGTAGAACTTTAACTGTTTTTGGATAAGACAGGTAAATAGATTTTTTGGCAAAGGGAAGGAGAGAAAGGAGAATAAGGAGGAAAGGTGCCAGGAGGCAGAATTATTGGCAGAAGCAATAGTGAGAATGATAGGAAGAAAGGTTTGGCCTTTTATTAGGTAAATGTATCTGAAATAAATGTATTGATTTTATCAAGAACATCTGCAGTGGGTGTTTGGTAGTCCTCTGAGATACAGGTCTAATTTTTTTATTTTATTATTTTTATTTATTTCAGGTACTTGTATAGCGCCATCAATTTATGCAGCGCTTTACATATACACTATATTGCCAAAAGTATTGGGACGCCTGCCTTTACATGTAAATGAACCTTAATGGCACCCCAGTCTTAGTCCGTAGGGTTAAATATTGAGTTGGTCCACCCTTTGCAGCTATAACAGCTTCAACTCTTCTCGGAAGGATGTTAACCTCCCTAACAGTATTCCCGAGTGTAGCTCGGGGTAAAATGTCTGTACCAAAAGCGGTAACCCCGAGCTACACTCGGGCTTACCATGCAGCGCTGCATAGGGAGTCCCTGCAGCACTTACCTTGTCCTTTGCTCCCGCGATGTGTCCCCTGCAGCGTCCCCGGCCATCTCCTCCGGCTGATGCCGGCATCCGACTCCTGTGTTCCGGTCCCTGTGACATCGGGACGTACGGGCGCCGGCGGCGGCGGCGGGAAATTTGAAAATTAAAAAAAATGTCATTTTTTTCAAAACGATTTTACATGGTAAAACATTGCTGTTTCAACCCATTTCACATACATTTTATCCCTAGTGCTTTGTCCTGTCCCCTGTTGCATTTTGATTGTTCTTTTCTGCCTGGAAACTGAGAAATGTCCATGGCGTCCAAAAAGTGTCCCTTTAGGTCAAAAGCGAGTTTAGATCAGCTAGAGAACAGCGATAGTAAATCAGAACTACTTGCAGAATTGAGTGATAATGATTCGTGGAGAAATTTGTCATCAGACACTGAAAACGATTTTGCGACTTTGCTCAGTGATGTGCGAACTTGGCGCTATATTTCAAATTTCAGTGTTTTGGTTTGATTATATTATTGAATTAAATGTATGATTTAGAATCTTGTTCAGACAGATTTCAGTGAGTTATTCCTAAAAATTACAGCCTACAATAAAAAAAACTACATATTTCCATGCAAAATAATTGTACCGCTTTCAGCACCAAAAATATGAAATAATCATACCGCTAGGGAGCTTAACAAGTTTTAGGAGTGTGTCTATGGGAATGTTTGACCATTCTTCTAGAAGCTCATTTATGAGGTCAGGCACTCATGTAGAACTAGAAGGTCTGGCTCACACTCTCTGCTCTAATTCACCCCAAAGGTGTTCTTTTAGGTTTGCCTCAGGACTCTGGTGCGCAGTCTTGTTGGAACAGGAAGGAGCCATCCATGAACTGTTCCCACAAAGCTGGGAGCATGAAATTGTCGAAAAATGTCTTGGTATGCGGACGCCTTAAGAACTCCCTTCACTGGAACTAAGGAGCCAAGCCCAACCCCTGAATAATGACCCCACACCATAATCCCCCCTCCACCAAACTTTGCACTTGGCACAATGCAGTCAGGCAAGTACTGTTCTTCTGGCAACCGCCAAACCCAGACACATCCATCGTATTGCCAGACAGAGAAGTGTGATTCGTCACTCCAGAGAACACATCTCCGCTGCTCTCGGGTCCAGTGGCGGCGTGCTTTACATCACTGCATCCGATGCTTTGCATTGCACTTGGTGATGTAAGGCTTGGATGCAGCTGTCAGGCATGGAAACCCATTCAATGAGGCTCTCTATGCACTGTTGTTGTGCTAATTTGAAGGCCACATGAAGTTTGGAGGTCTTTAGCTATTGACTCTGCAGAGAATTGGCAACTTCTACACACTGTGCGCTTCAGCATGCGCTGATCCCGCTGTTGTTCCCAGTTGCTTCCACTTTGTTATAATACCACTAACAGTTGACCATGGAATATTTAGTAGCAAGGAGATTTCACGCATGGACTTTTTGCACAGGTGGCAACCTATCATGGTACCATGCTTGAATTCACGAGCTCCTGAGAGCAACCTATTCTTTCACAAATGTTTTTAGAAGCAGTCTGCATGCCTAGCTGTTTGATTTAATACACCTGTGGCCATGGAGGTGATTGGAACACCTGAATCCAATGATTTGGAGGGGTGTCCCAATATATTTGGCAATATAGTCTATATATTGTACATTCACATCAATCCCTAACCCTCAAGGGGTGTACAATCTATGGTCCCTAACTTGCATTCATACATACACATATTAGGGCCAATTTAGACAGGATCCAGTTAACCTACCAGCATGTCTTTGAAGTGTGGGAGGAAACCCACGCAGGCACAGGGAGAACATGCAAACTCCAGGCAGGTGGTGCCGTGGTTGGGATTCAAACTAACGACCCTAATACTGCCAGGTAGAAGTACTAGCCATTTAGCCACTGTGCTGCCCATAATTTGTTTTATTATAAGTCTGCCTCTCAATCACAAATTCCCCTCATTGCACTGAAGGCTCTCCCTGATATGACACCTCCCATCTATATGTGTCATGCAAATTAGGGGTTGGTGTTTTTTCCATGTTGCCCACAAAGTTGAGTTAAAATGACCTTCTTATAGCTATTCATTATTTGTTTTTGTTAAAGCTCCTCCATGGCAGTGCCCAGCTCCCATGCCCTGTTTAACCATACCTTGCCTATTAGCTTTTAAAATGGGGTAGAATGTAACAACAGGATTCATCCCCATAGACTTCAGTATGATTTTCTGCTAAATTCAGTTTTTATGGACTTTTATGAACCCCCTAAAAAATGTAATTGGGCAGATTTGCCCATCCCTATTGCTAGGGAATGAAAACATAATGAGGCTGAGAGAAAGTAGCAGAATTTACTCAAAATAACAATGCTAGTGGACCTTTGGAAACAGAAGAGTCAGGTGTAAAAAATGTTAGGCTGTCAATGCATTGCCTCATTTCCATATGATGTGATTGACCCAAACAATACTCAAAATAATAATTAAGCAGTGGTAGGACTGATAACAGAGTAACAATAGGCATTGTAAATGTCAGAACTATTCATTGTCATTTGAAGGATTTTCTGATATGTTTGTACAAATTATGTCATACAAGCATTTTTTACAACATCTGACAGTTAAAAGTAAAAAACCTTGCAGGAATACTTAAATATATATTTACTAGTGTGACATTTGTGATTCTGCCACAAAGTACAGAATTGGTGACATAACCTTTCCAAATCATGTACAAAATTTCTCTTGAGCTCTGGAGAAACTAAGCTTAGTTGTTTTATTGTGGGGTGTGGGGCTTATAATCATACACAGGTATGGCAGTGGATTACTCTGTGTAGAATGTAAAAAGAAAATGTTACATTTAGACAAGGTGCTTACAATAAAGAAATTGTAGTGCCTAAAGAGGTACTAAACTGTGAAAACTGAGACCAAAAAAATGCAAGCAGAAGACAAAAGTCTAGTCACTACTATTACCTGTGATCTTCCCCATTGCTGACTTGTATGGCTTTGTGTGGAGGTGACCATCTTGTTAAAAAAGCACATCAGATCTGCCCATCTGATGACTGATGGCTAGTGAATAAAGATAAAAGCGTCAGGAGATGTGGAGAAAGCACAGATCCACAGAGTGAGTGAAACAGAAGCAGTGAGCGTCTTTCACTGCAAGTCCTCAGGTATGGCTTTCTCTCCAGCAAGACCTTAGGAGAACAGTGAGAATCACATAAGAGGCATTACAATATTTCACTATAGTTCTTGTGAGACTATTGGTCCTGGGCACAGTTCCACTCAAACTACAGTCATAGAGCTATGAGGCCCAATGCACAGACATGCCTAGTCATACAAACATACCAGGAAAGGAACTGGTGTTTTTCAGAAGTAATTTAGTAATTTCTGAAAGTTTAACTTAAAAATTCTATGTTCATTATTGTTGTGTCCTCTGGCCTAAGAAAAAGAGTAGTTATAGAGTGCTTTATTAACACGTTCAGGCATCCATGAGTATATGTTAGGGATATATTCATAGATATAGAGGAACAGGAACTAACTTGTACTGGGCATATAAAGTTTTATATATGTAATAACTGTAAAGAATGAACAACGAATAGTTCTCTCATAGTACAAAAGAGTATTTTTCACAATATTGAAAAATACAGACAATATTTTATATCACAAAACAGTACAATGCATTTTAATTACATCAATTAATTCTTAGTATACACCTTAGGACTAATATTCTGATTCCTTGAATATGTCTAAGCAATTCTGTTTTTTTGGTTTCCACTTTGATTGTTTTTAGTGGGAATAGGAATTTGCTCCTCTTCAAATGAAACATCTGAAAGGTACTGACTAACAGGTACAAGAAAACTGGCATTCCATATACATCCATGAGGAAGTTCACAGTTGGAAGGTCCTTGTTGACTTGTCATTCAAAGTTGATTAGGAAATATAGATTGTCCCTGTTTCAATTAGCCGGGTTTCTTAACTCTAATTAGAGATCCAAACTGAAAGCGTAGTTTGCTTGCACCAATTTCATGCATTCTTTATCTAGAAAGCAACAAAAGAGAATGTTATAACAGTGTCATGTTACATAATACAACAATCGTGCAGTAATAGTGGGTGATGCAGATATAGTTGATCCAGTGAATATCTGATTGCCTCTTGGGGGATTTTTTTTTTTCCCCCTGCTGGAGTGAATTGGATCAAGCTTTATTGGGGTTTTTTTGCCTTCCTCTGGATCAACTGTGGATATAGGATTGGGTATATAGGATTGTATTTTTTTTTCTTTTTATTAGTTGAACTAGATGGATTTGCGTCTTTTTTCAACCAGACTAACTATGTAACTTTGTAACTATGTAACCTTGACAGAGATGATGATGCTAAGAGTTCATAATTCTTTTGATGGGATGGAGGCTTATATCCTTACTTGTATGCTGTCTCAAAAAATCTTGATTGCTTCTGTTTTCCAGGGTACGGGGGGGGGGGTTAAGGCGGGCAGCTAGGATATGGTGGGGGGTGAAAGAGGAAGGGGGTGCAGGAGAATGGAAGAGAGCAGCCGCAGGACTTAGAGAGGGGAAGGGAGGTAAGATTTCAGGGGAAACGGGAAAGAGAAAAAAAAGGGGACAGTTAGGGGCAAAGGTAGAAGGAATGGGCATTGGATGTGGGAAGGGATAATGTAGATTATCTCAAAGGTTACTGTGGTGAGATCTGACTAGGCAAGAACTACTTTCTGAAGCTGATTAGGTCTTCAATGTATTGGATATCGTTAATCCTGAGTTTTTATTGTTTCAGTAGGGCTGGGATACAATAGCATTATTAACCATGTTTAACTACAGAGTTCTTGTATGACTTAGTGGGGAGAAAATTGTGATGAAGGATCAAGAACATAGGTTTTTGGCTATTGGGTGATTGGTAACGTTTTGGACAACAGTGTGGACCTGATCCCAGAAGGCTTGGGAGTATGGGGCAGGACTAGAAGATATGTGAGATATCTCCCAGGACAGAACAACATTTCCAATAGTGATTGGGGGCTGATGAGTAACAGGAAAAGGAGAAAGGCTGGGGTACTATACCAGTGACTGATGATTTGTAGCCAAATTCCAGGAATGGGTTTCTGATGGAGGATTAGTAAGATAATATGAGATTTTTTTTCCTGCATCTGTGATGTGGGATAAAAATATTGTCTCCATTTTTGCAAGAAAAAAAAAAGACATGGAGTTTGAGGTTTCTTGTATGAGGAGTTTGTAAATTAAGGAGGATAATGTTTGGTAGTTCCTGTAGAGCAACTTGTCATTTGACAAGTGTCTGCGGACTTTCATGTAGAGAGGCTAAAAGCAATGTCTTTGAGTTAAAGCAATGAGTTTAAGAATTTGACAGAGACCCAGGGATGCAGAAATTTGAGTCTCAGAGCATGCCATTGGTGGTCCTCTAAGAGAAGTGATTCCTAAAGTGTGAGGTCCTGTGTATGCTCTTCTGGCTTAGCAGGGGGAAGGTAATGTCTGAGTTTTAGCAGAGAAGGATGGTGCCTAATTATCAAGAATTGGGGAGATGGTGTGGGTGAATTACCATATTTAGTGAAAATTTGTCTACGAATGCTCCAGGTAAGGGATATTTTAGGATGTTTGTAAACAGTTGAGAGCTGGAGATCTTGGCACTAGGGGAATAAGTTTAGTGGAATGTGGGAGACACATGGGTGGTGGGTTGCATTGTAACTAAATTTGATACGCTGCCCCTAGTTTTGGCCCACATAGTATAAAATGCTTGCTCCTGTTTTTGTCCAGCCAGATTTGTTGTATTGATTGAATGGCATGGAGGAATTATTGGCATGGAGGAATGGCCTTATGAGAGTTGTATATCTGCAACATGTAATTTAGTGCATGTAGTCATTCTGTAGACATGTAGTAAACACTTTCCAATTTTCCCTGTAGGATTTGCAGTCACAAAACCTTATTTGCAGCTTCTGTTGAATCTCAAAATTTGCTTGGGAGTAATAAACTAAAGTTTCCCTATGCACACAATATTTCTCTTTCTCAGGAATCATTAAAACTTAGACAAAACAAATTGTGACCCATTGTCAGATGCTAGTTACTTTGGGTTATCATCCCTGCTGAAGACTGTGGAAAGAAATGTAACTTCAGTAGCAGGTAGGTTTAGTTGAGATAAATGCAATTTCTGGCCATTTACGATAACTCATCAATGCCATAGCAAATCGGTAGTCCACAGGTGCCTTTGTGAAAAGGGCCGACAATAGCAAACTGCTCCAGGAACTGGCAGTGGCTGGAGTGATGAAGTGCACGTGACAGCAGATTTGTCATGACTAGAGATGAGCGAATCGAACCTGGCGAAGTGGAATTCGTTTCGAATATCAGGAAAAATTTGATTCGCATCGAATCCGAATTTTAGCAAACTTCGGGTGCACGAATCGAATTTTTCCCGATCAGCCGGCAAAAGTGTCACTGCAGAGAGCTCTGCTATTTTCTGACAGTTCTGACAGTTCATTTACAGCGGTTGAAACATTGTATATATTTGTTTCCATTTAGGATACAGATGTTTTTATTCGGAAATAAATAGATACAATGTTTCAACCGCTGTAAATGTGAAGGAACTGTCAGAGAACTGTCAGAAATAGCGGAGCTCTCTGCAGATAC